ATGGATCCTTAATATCATCTCCAACCGTTGCTTCTCATCTTCTGGTGGATTCTCCTTTTGTCAAGGTATGAAACACTTCTCCACTTTCACTAGGATTATAACTTTATGATTTAAATTCTTGTACCTTGTCTACCTTTTGTTCTTTTCTAAAGTATAAAGGAGGATTTAGGCTCCTTTCTTTGTCATTTCTGTAATGTAAAACTTAATGGCTTTTCATGAATTTCTTCATGCACGTCAAATGTTAAATAGGAAAGCATAGGTGTAGAGGTTAATATATAGTGCAGAATATCTGTGCCGTTGGCAATGTTCAAATAGGATGACTTTTCAGTAGGAATTTACCTTTTCGAATTATGTGATTTTATGAAATTTTATATGGACCTAGACACTTTTTGAAGTAAAGGTCACTAATTCTACTTTATGCCTAATTTCAAGGACAATGATAATTTCAACCTGCATATGAAAGAATAGATACATAGAACTCTAAACTTAAGATTACAATGCTTCATACTGTTAACCATGTGAACCAATTCATCTTACTTTCCAATAGTTAGAGAGGATTATTTATCTAAAATCTGCAACATCATCGCTAATGTGCGAGCCCAGTTCTTTTTTTTTTTCCGGGCCAAGCATGTCTATTTTGTAAATGTGTGGCTGACTGGCTGTGAGACACTAGCTTGGGATAGAGCCTAGAGGTGTAGATCTGTGAGCCACTAGCTTGGGATAGAGCCTAGAGGTGTAGATATTCTTTTTCTTGTGGTGGCTGTGAGACTTAACCTCTTTGATATCATGGAATTATGTGAACTACCTAATCTAATAGTTTAAACCATTCAATAATATTTTGGCCTAAACTCCTTAACACCAATAATGTCTTTCTGCATATTCCTTAATATCTTTAAATTTGAACCTCTCTCCCTAACATTTGTTTACTGATTTTAGCATGCAATACATATTATGTTCAGAAATAAAGGTGTAGATATTCTTTTTCTTGTGGTGGCTGTGAGACTTAACCTCTTTGATATCATGGAATTATGTGAACTACCTAATCTAATAGTTTAAACCATTCAATAATATTTTGGCCTAAACTCCTTAACACCAATAATGTCTTTCTGCATATTCCTTAATATCTTTAAATTTGAACCTCTCTCCCTAACATTTGTTTACTGATTTTAGCATGCAATACATATTATGTTCAGAAATAAAGGTGCTGTTGAATACTTTATTGTGGAGTTACCATTTGGTTGTTCTTGGCACTGCATTAAAACATTAGGCAGGGTTATTGCTTGTTTGAAACTTTAGCATATTGTTTGACCAATAAGTAAATGGTTATATAATGCATTCCATTGATGATTTTAATTCTTGTAATTTCTGCATGCAGCCCACATGGGTTACACAGTGTCCGCTGCTACTGCTTGATACGAGAATGCCTTATGGAAGCTTGTCAGTTGGTTGTGAAGAGCATCTGGACCCTGCTGGCACTGGCTCCTTTTTCAATGAAGGCGAAGCAGATATCGTTGTTCAACACGTCTTCAGTTTAATTTATTCTGGTACATGTTCTTTACTATTAGTTTTCTCTGCAAATAATAATTGTAGATCCTTTAATTTCCCAGAAAGTATTCATAAACAAAACTTGCATGATAAGTGTTTCTGTGGCTCAAGCGACTGGACAACATACAGATTCATTGAATTCAATTATCAAATATCTTGTTATATATCCTATCCATCCACCAAAATACCTAGCTTAGGTGAGATAGCAGGACTGATGACAACTTTGTATTCTCTTATTATAGCTTATGAATGCATCTTTTACGTCTGAGATGAGAGAAAAGTTTTTTATTTACACTTGGAGAATATGCTCATACTTTCTAAATTCCTCCTTTGTTTCTTCATATATCATAAATTAGTATTGACTAGCCAAAGAAGTAGTATCAGTTATCTTAAATTATCTTGTACAGGTGTTCCCCCTGCAGCAATTGCAGTGCAGTCTCCTTATGTCGCTCAAGTGCAACTTCTTAGAGACAAAGTCGATGAGCTTCCAATGGCCACTGGCGTTGAGGTTGCAACCATTGATAGCTTTCAAGGCCGTGAAGCAGATGCTGTGATTATATCCATGGTAAGCTGTCACTCTACTCATGTGTTACATGTTTACATGCTTCTGTGGATTGTCCTTTTATTTCATTCTAATCTCTGCCTTATAAGGACCATTTTAATTAATTAAACTTCCTGAAGCATTTTTTTTTTGGGTAAATCTTGGAGGCCTGGTTTCGAAGTGTCCTGGGGGAAATTTTGTGGTATCCTCTGATGATTAGTAAAATACAGTAATTTCTGATTGAATGCTCAGTACTATATGCTAAGTTATTTGGATGGGGATGACTATGTGTTTCAGTTTCATATCCTTGATTAAGTAGTTTAAGCCATTCCCCAAACAGCAACTTTTAGCAGGGAAGGAGGAAATCAATCTGGAAAATTTATACAAGTTTCAAGTTTCTATCAAGTACAGAGGTAGTTTACTCAGTGTGCTAAATAGTCTCCATTACCTTGTATTAGTTCGTGAGTTGGGAAGACCATCTTTTTCCGCTACGATTGTAGTTATGATTACACTCTAAGGGGTTTTGGGCTTCTTATTTCTCCATGGATAACTTCACATATTGGAAAAATGTTTACATAATTCTTATTTAGACCTTTGAATTTTTCTTATATAGTCATGAAGTTGAGCCTATATAGGTGGCTACGTTTTACTATTTGGTTCTTTCGCCGAATGCATTTGACAATGGCAAGTACCTTCAACCTTAGCACAGCTTATCTGTTTCAAAACTAGATCAAGCTACGTTATGCACTTCAATATATGTTGTTCAAATATTGAGAAAGAGAGCATGTAAGTGCACGCTTATATAATGTTGCTTTGATAATCCAGGTTCGTTCAAACAATCTAGGAGCTGTTGGCTTTTTGGGAGACAGCAGGCGAATGAATGTTGCCATAACAAGGGCAAGAAAGCATGTAGCAGTTGTCTGTGACAGTTCAACTATATGTCACAACACATATTTGGCGAGGCTGCTTCGTCATATTAGATACTTTGGCAAAGTAAAACATGTCGAACCTGGTAGCTTTTGGGAATTTGGCCTTGGTATGGATCCAATGTTGCCTACTGCCAGTTAAGTTGGAAAGAGTTAACCAAGACCGAAATTTTAATGCTTGTCGTCCAGCTGATGATTACTGGGCGGATTTTCCGACTGGTTGATCTGCAAATTATATATTCAGGTGCTTCAAGCAAATCAGCTTTTTGACCAAGAGGACAAAGCTCAGGGTAATTTTTATTTGTATATATAATTCAACGAAAACTTTGTGAAAGTGTACACATATATATATATATATATATATATATATACATACAGCTTCAATGTCTATATACGATTCTTCATTGTTTAACTCCTGTTAATGATTTCCTTTGTAGTCGAATCAGCATGAAGATTATATGTATAAACAAAGTGTTGAAATTCACTAACTGCAGGAGTTGTACATATATGTACTTTTTGGAAGCTTTTATCGACTGAAAATTAAAGAGTCATAGTGATCTCCAAACTTTGATAAACAAAATCTTACATAAACTTGCCAAGCACTAAAATAATGATATGGAAGTTTTGTTGTTCAATTCTGCACCAGCACCCCCACTTTAGTTATCCACCACAGAAAATGATAGTTACATCCAATTTTGCAATGAAAGAGGTATGGGTGCTTCATTGTGTTCTAATTCTTTGGATGCTCTTTCTTCAAAAATGTTATGACGAACATTTTTTTCGTATGTATAACATGTTGAAAAACACACACTTTTACTTCTAGATGGTAACTGCAAATTGAGAGTGGGGAATTCGCAATTAAAGACTTGCATTCAGACTTTAGTGGAGTTAATGTGCAGTTAGAGATCAGTTTTCCATTTTTCTACTGCTGCTGCTCTGTGATTGAATGAAATGATGATTAAACGTATGATATGTATCGTGATACTATCTCAAGGAAAACATGCTTACTGCCATCAGAAACAGAGTTGTGGGGTTATAGTTAGAAGTTAAATAACACAGACCAAAAGGATGCTAGAAAATAATGCAAAGTAAACATCAATTTCGAACAAGAAGTTAAAAAAAATCTCCAGAATCTCATATTCAAAGCTACATATAGACCAAGTTGTTAAAAGAGGTTTTTTCACTTTTAGCCCTCGCCAGAAACTATTTATATTTGGTAGCCAAAAAAGTGTATAAAATTTGTATAATTTTTGTAAAATGTATATATATACAAAATATATCCAAAAAATATACATTTTTCAGCTATTGTTTTGAGAGCGGCTATATAATGTCATTTTTTCTCAAAAAAACAAAGACAGTGGGGATGGAAAAGGGATGTAAAACAACAACTACTATATCTCACAAGTCGTGCCGCAATTGCAGTCTGTACTGCGTCTAAATGTTCAGTATGGGGTTAACGTGTTGATAATTATTCAATTGAACTTGCAATACACGTTAATGACGTTTTTCATTAGGACTCTTTTGATTTTCTGACTCAGCGCGATCTCTTAATTCACGAGTTGATACATATCAAACAAGTTTTTGAGACGCATCTTTTCTTTGGCTTGAGCAGTTGGACTGCTCCTCTTTCAAATATTTGTAGTAACTCTTATATCTTGATCTTTTTTACTTGTTCTTTTGCTTTTTCAAACAAGCCAACTTCTTGTACCCACTCATGCTTTTAGTTCTATCGTTACTTTGACAAATATATCAAGAAAATTGGGTTTTACGCATGTGATAGCTGTGCCTAAACCATCTGATCACTTACCAGAAATGATTAGCAAATTTCGTCTTTTTCACTTCTAATCAACACTACAACAATACAGCTATTTTTCAAATGCAATTTCCATTGGAATTCAATGGATATCTAAAAAACAATCAAACAAGAGTAGATATTTCGTGCTAATATATTGGCAACTACAGAGAGCTGATAAGTTTCCAACTACAAATTTCTGAAAATAATCAGCCAACAGCTAAATCCAATTTCTTCCACGCTTCTTATTTTTCATCAAAATTTCAGACATCACGCAAAGACCTTAAATTTTCTTCCTTCAGATGGGAATGTTCAACTATTGTTCTTCAACTGCTAGTACGTAAGAACTAGATTCTGAAAATGAACAAACTGCTGTTACAAACCAATGTAAAGCAATACAGTACTACTTTAGAGTTGACATCACTCGAAGTTCTCTTTGTTCATAGTAATGTATCTGATATCAATTGAAAAGTTGTGACTTAAAAATATAGCAGTGGTGGTGTTTTGATACTCTTTGGTTGTGCTGTGATCACTTCCCTGCTTCAGTCGGTGTTTTGGTAGTCATCTGGTCAACTGCATGCACAGTGTTCTGAAGTTCTTCCCATATGGCTTTGTAGACCATCCTCTGCCTATTCACAGCAGATTGTCCCTCAAAAGCTGAAGAGACTACATCAATGCTGCAACGAGAAGAATAACAATGACTTTACAGAACTAGCAACAGATATACTCACCACTTGATTTAGTAAACCAGCTTCATTTTCCATCCAATGCACCATCTAATAGAGAAGAAACCTCACCTGACATGCCGACCATCACCATAAGCATCTTTAACTACAACTGTGTCCGCATTCAACTGCTCCTTGATCTATTGGCATATATTTAAATATGAATTGGTCTGTTATTGACAGAAGTGACGCTATCACAAAATACATGAACGTAAGCACTTTAGTTTAATATCCCAGGTAGATATGTAGTCTAGACTTTTGAAAATATAGGTGCATGGAATTTGTACAGCTAATTGTAGCAGAAGCCAAGCAAGTTCAGAAATCCTTATTAATGTAATCTTTGGCCACACCGCCACAGCCTTGTTTATGTAACCAAGATCAAACGTCAAAAGTTTCTGTAATGGCACAAGTGAATGGAATTTCATAAAGAAAAATCTACTTCAACCGATAAACCCTAAACCCTAAAAAATGACAAAATTGTAAAAAGGATCAAACATCAAAAGTTTCTGTAATGGCACACGTGAATGGAATTTCATAAAGAAAAATCAACTTCAACCGATATGCCCTCAGGCATGGCCATACATAACATAAAGATCACACTTGGAAATGGTGGACAATTAGCTACAGCAAAACTGATTGGAAAAGATGGGACAAGGAGGAGTAGTTCTTTACCAGACTGTAATTGTGGACATGCTGCGCTTAAGAACTTTTGCTGCCATGCTTTAGTTAAAGTAGGTGCTAATATATGCCATAAAGAAGCAAGCATTCTAGAGTTTATTCCAACAAATAACTTATATACTTACTAGAGGAAAAAGAAACAGAAAAAGTAAACTAAATCTGAGTAATTTGAGAATATTGTAAACTAACATGCAAGGATCTTCTAAAAGGGATTCAACAAGTTTAGTCCAAAATTCAAACCGTGCTTTCTTATTTGGTTCGATGAAGTCTTTCTATAAGCATAGTTGTATTAACTTCGTTACGACACAGACGAATAATGTGAGATTTTCCTAATATTTGATTACTGCTAGCGTAATAAATTCCTCGCCCCACCCACTAACACTTTCATCCCCTCTATATTTTATCTCTTCTCTTTACGTAGTCCAAGAAGTTTTCAGCATCTATATCTTTCTTCCTTTCTCATTCATCCACTTCCTGCATCCAGGAATCCACTCGAACTCATCACAACTCTGGTGCCTATAAATTTAAATCTTTGTCATAGCTTTATAGTTTACTGCACATGGATCAAGGTGGTGCACTGTACCAACGCGCCAGTTAGCTATTTGATGTAATATGCGACATCTGTGATCCCAGGGAAGCTGGTTCAACTATTTTTTTTGTTGGATAACGATAAGTTCCAGCAGGCTAGTGGTGCACGGTTTGAAACTAGGTGGATAATGGACCCATCCTTCTACTCTTCTCCACTTACGTATCAAGCTTTTGTTGGTGGCGTGGTTCGCTAACCCACACATAATGCACTGCACTCTTAAACTAGACCAAAACCTGGGGGCAAGGGGCTTCATTGCATGGTTCACTGAACATCCAGAGGTTGTCATATTCATTGTTTTTCTTGGTCCTTTTTTTCTTTTCAAATCCTAACGTCTTCAATTCTACGAAATACCATTGTAATAAATATTTTGTGACTTTGAAGTTGATCATTATCAGCTTCCTTCTTTTTAAGTGATACTCTAAGGTGGCACATACTCAGGGATGTTTTCTTCCCGAGCCGAAAATCTCGCTCCTCTGTCCCTTCCAACGACTTGAACTCTGTCCTTAAAGCCCCTTGAATTCATACCTCTTTTTCGGTCCTTGAGTTTAGACCTCAAGTCCTTTTTGGTCACAAATTCCCTCCCAATTCTCATTCTTTCTTTGATAGTTAGCTTACTATTCAGTTCACTCAACATTTTCTTGGATCAATACTATTCAGTTCACTCTACTTATCTTTCGTAGATATTCTATCTAGTAGTCAGGCTCATTTGAACTCGGTAGTCAGATGCTTTAGAATCTTTTTTCTTAAAAAGTAACAGCGTAAGGAACAAAAGAAATATGCTTCCAAGAACATATTTCGGGGTCAAAGAAATCCCTAAAGTTTTACTATTTAAAACAGGGCAGAGCTAGAGTGGCGGGTTCGGTCGAACAGGTAGCTTTGGTTTGAATCTTGTATTTGCCTTAAAAAAATCCATTGCATATGTATAAATTATTAATTTAGAATCCGGTAACTTAAAACGATTAAAATACCGAACCCATAAACTTGAAATCTTGGTTCCACCTGCTTTAAACGAGATATTAGCAATGCCCAAGCTGTAGATAGCACAATTGCACAAAGCAGATAACACAAGCCCAATAAAACAAAATTGCAGTTATGGTCATAAAAAGGGCAATACACTCATACTAAAACAAAGGGTCGATAAAATTAACCTTTTTCTGCATAGACTCCATAAGAGGAGAATCAATTGAGCCAGTATCGCTAGTCGCACGAGTAGAGAAAGTCCGACGACCAGCGAAAAGCTCAATCTTTGAACCTATTTGGGGAACGAGCTTCATTGGCCTGTAGGAACGAGCAGAAATAGAAACGCATTTGAGTAATGAAGGTACACGTGGCTGAACGGAGCTGCTCAATCGCCGGATACACAGCGCCGCCACGTTTGGCCTTGCAAACAACGCCTTCGTCATCTTTACTCTCTTTTCTGTCCGGCGTCAAAGCGAATTAACACCTTATTCCTTTTATCTCTTTTGTGTATCTTTATTATAAGCCATCCAACTTGGCATTATTTTTCATTTTGGCACTCTATCTCTAACTTGTTCTATTTTGGTCCTCCAACTCTATTTCTTACCTTCAACTTTAACACAAAAGCTTAAACTAGTGCAAAAATATATATCCCGTTAAATCTAAGGTGTAATAAATATCAAATTAAATGTTGCCACCTGATTTTTTCATCCATGTCAAATGGGTCACTACTAAAATACCTGAACTCGATCGTATTTTTTCATCCACTGTTGCCCCATCTTCATTCTCTAAGTTCCAAAGCTTTCATCTGTCGATTTCATACCTGACCCGTTTAGAAGAAATAAACCCACAAAAAATAAGGTCGGGTTCAGGTATTTTAGTATTGACTCATTTGACATGGATGAAAAAACTAGGTGACCACATTTAATTGGATATTTATTACACCTCATATTTAACAGGCTATATTTTTTGCACTGGTTTCAGCTTTTGTGTTAAAGTGGAACATAAGAAATAGAGTTAGAGGGCCAAAGTGGAACAAGATAGAGATAGCGTGCCAAAATAAAAAATGATGCCAAGTTGGATGGGATGTATATGTATTTGGCCCATTGTTATTGTTTTAAAGAAATAAATATTATCTGGTTAACTTGGACTCGCCTGGAGTTGTTTAACCATAAAAAAAATCATCTAATTTTTTTTTTTGATTGAGATTTGAAATTTGAATCCTAATCTTCTTTAGTTTCTATTCCACTTTGTCACATAAATTTTTAATCACACTCGATATTTATATTAAATTAAGTAATTTAATTATTAAAGTTAAAAATTAAAGTCAAAACATATTATTTAACTATGGTGAAGTGCAAAATATATGTATAAAATACATGTACCTTATATTTATTCAGTTGGTATAAAAACTGGTCGTAAGTGTGGTTTTTATCATCATGAGCTATTATGTCAAAGTTTTAATTGCTATGTATCTATATTATTTCTCCAATTAAAAGACGGTTTTGAACTTCAAAAAATATATAAAATTAAGTATTTTTATGCACACAAAAGTATATTTTTCAAAATTTTATCAGCCCTATGTCTGCTTCGGACAAAATAAATAAATATAAAATGTAAAAAAAAATTTGTTCTGCAAGTTCTCTTGGCATCATTACTTGTTCTTTTTCCTCATTATTTATCATTTAAGGAGCAAAGCTTAAAGGTATGTATTTGGGCGTATTGTTTGTGGTTATATATTCTCAAGCAAAAATAAAGAAACAATGATGATGCCAATTTTTCCTCTTATATATCATTTTCAGAAATTTATAAACAAACATTTTGATCAAGATATTAAACCAAACATAATTTCAAGACTGATAAATAATAAGAATTCTCTTGCTTTTTTTAGACTATGATCATTTACAGTACCTCTCACCTGGGGCTTGCTATTTCCTTTAAACTTTTAAACAATATCAAAGCTAATCATTTTTGCACTGTTAGGATTTTGTAGTTATGTTCATAATGTTGTCACTACTGTAACATTTATGTAAACACCACACCCGTGTTAGAAATTATTTGGAATGTAATGGTTTTGATGTTTTGACTAGCTCTTGCATGCTAGTCAATGAAATAATATTTGACGTTAATTAAATATTATATGAAATTTAATACATGTAAATGTAAAAGCATTTACATAGTCATTGGAGAGAGAAAAAAGAAATTCCTAGTTAAACATAATCTTACTTCTATAAATCATAAAAAATTTAATACTATTAGGTCATTTAAAAAGGATTTGCGAGATAAATAAAACACTTACTATAATGCAAGTAATCAATTATAACAGATAAAATTACAATAAATAATGTAATAAATTTTTAAAATTGAAGGTACATAAAATAATTCCTTTTAAACACTGTTATTTTTTTGAATAATAAATACTAGTGCTCCTATAATTGGAGAAACAAAAAGATAATAAAATTGTAAAGATAGAGGAATAAATAAGTGTAGATAATAATAAAAGATTTACAATATTAACTTGTAGCTGTGACAGAGCCGGGTTTTTGCCCAAAAGAAAACAAAACAGAAAAATCCCAATCCGGAGCAAACTCCACCGAGCGACGGTGGCTTCCTCTCCATTTGACACTTCTTCTTCTACCTCAGATTCACTCGCCCATTTCTATTTAATCGCTATTTCTCTTTTTCGCCCCACTGCTTTGATCAATTGTCACGCCGATAGCCTCCCACAGTCTTCTTTGTTATCTATCATCATCACCGATAAAGACCAGTTTTTTTTACGAAAAAGGGGAAGAGATATTTGAGTTAATCGCCGTAGAGGAATGACTTGAAAATCTTGTGTGGATGGATCTATGGATGATAAAGATCATGGTTTGACTGATGAGGAAATTGGTTGGTGAATGAGGATGGGATTAGAATCTTCCGGTGAAACTAATCCTCGTGATTTCCGGAAGATTATTGCGATGATTCCTTTGCTTTAGGGTTTCGTTTGTGTTGTAATTTGTAATACAGATAATAGTTATTAATGGACGAGGGCAGTAGTAGTTCTAAGGAACAGGCGGCAGAGGAAACCTTATCATCATCATCTTCATGGCGACCCAGCCAGGGAGTGTTTGGTCCTTATTTGCCTGTTCTTCAGCCAAATGCTAAGCCCCAAAGTTTGCGGGTAGTTGTTAGAAGACCTGTAAGTGTTTCTTTCTCCAATATTATTTAGAATTCTTTACTTTGTTTACTGTATTCCACTTTGCATTTGTGCTTTATTTGTTGGGGGTGAGATAAAATTCCGTCCATTACTGCATTCTAAATTTTGAGTTAGGAGGAGTCAGTGGAAGTACATTTACAGATAATGATTTTCTGTATCCATAGAATGTCATAAGTAATTAGAGTTAAAAGTTTATCCTAAAGCTCGTCATATGGTAGTCTAAAGCTGTCCTGTTTATACTGTCTGGTTTCTTCAACCTCGGGTTAAATGACCAAGAAAGGAATCCATTTGAGGTTAGTTCAATCTGGATATAAGCATAGATTGTGTTGCTAGTAATAAGAAAGAGTCTTGGTCTATTTGTCTTATGGGTCGCATGTAACAGCTGATTGCTGAAGCAGTACAGCTGAGAGTTAAGAGTCCACTACATGGCTGGCCTGATCTGCCATATTATCTTGGGTGGACTGAAGATAACTGTTTGTTATATCAGCTCTTAGGAGGGGTGAGTATGGTAAACGTGTTTTGCGGATGATCAGCGATAAGGTTTATGACTATTTTAATGGAATGCTTGCTGTATTTACTCTTTAGACTGGAATTTGTAGCTATACCAGCGACCAATGGTGCTCTGACTTTTCTCCCCACAGCTTGCTTCTAATTATGATCAATGAGTTAAGAGGTGTCTCTACTCCCAGATAATATGCCCTTAAAGGTGTCATATTGTAACCCTCACCCTGTCCTGAAAAAGAAAAAAAAAGTATGCAGCTTTTGTCTGGAAAAAATTTCACATTGTTAAAAAGAATATATCAGGAACTAGCATACATGAAAACAATAAAGTTTCAATAATAGAATCAATTGTTTGCTTATTGAGGGAGCCCTTTCTTTAGACAAAAGATGACTTTGCAAACAGGTATACCCGTGTTAGCTGTTACTGATATCTCTCTTGAAGAGCGATTTGTTTGGGTTTAGTTTCTTAGGTAAGAGGGATAACCTCGCAATGTTTGGTTTCCACCTCTTTTTAAGTGCCCTGTGTAGTGCTCTGAAGCTATAAAACCATGCGACGAACGTTAAGGGAGCTAGTTTCACAATATTGTAAACATCTCTCAAAAGGAAGCAGACTTACTCTCCCGACGTCCACTTGCCATCTAGAACAAGGAAGCACTTCAGCGGCCTTTTGAAGAGGATAAAGTGGAGCAAGCAGTGATGAATAATAACGGGAAAAAGGCATTGTGTCTGATGCTTTTGCTCTCGCTTTCTTTTGTCATTGTTGGAAGTTAAATGAGGATGTTATGGATTGTTGGAGCGGTTACCGCACTTGTGCTTTCAAGAGAAGCTTCGACTCTCTATTCATTGTCTTGATCCTTACAGGTGCTATGGCCCTCAAGAATTCTCGACTTCTTAGCCTAAGGAAGTTTCTACAAGAACAATGCAAAGGTACTTGCTATGAAATTTAAAGGTGTTATAGATAAGGTCATACCTACTTCACATATGCTTTTCTGGTAGAAGTGAGATATTCTGGACTTTAGTCTTATGGCAAATGAAGTTGTGGATCCTAAATTGGATATTGGCAAGGTGTATGACCGTGTGGATGGTAAGTTCCTACTCTATCTCCTTCGCTGGACGGGGTTAGGAAATTAATACATCATTGCCTTCCACAGTCTCGATTTACGTAATTTTGAATAGTAATTTTTTTTTGCAAGTACTAGGGCTTTGAAGGAGGGAGGGTCCATTATCTTAGATGCTTATTTGTTTTTGATGGAGTGAGACTAATCCAAGCTTTTGGTCCCTGGTTTAATTTAAGGTGGTGTGCTACAACCGCCGAATCAACACGAAGATGTTTGAGGTGATCCGGTGGAGCGGAGTATGCACAATTTTAATGTGTTGGTGAGGAGGAAAACTTAAGGTTATCAAACTCCACATCAAACATTTGGATGTTGGAAGGATAATATAAAGACGGTAGACTTTAATTAGTGAATGATTTAGAAACTCGAAAAAAGAATAGAATGGTGGAAAAAGCATTCTCTCTCTTGAAAGGAAGAAGAATCACCTCGATAAAAGCAACAATGTCAAGTATTCACACTTATATCATGTGTTTTATTCTCAATCCGTCATGCAAGAATAGAGAAATTGATCCAATTATTTATCAGATGACACAAATATAGATAATAAGCTCCACCTTGTTTGCAGGAATAAGGTAAAGGTGAGGGGAGGATGACTGGGCATTTGGAGATCGGAAATCTTGAACATGACATTGTTAAAGAAATTGCTTTCGCGATTTGCGATAAAAGAGCGGCCTATTGTGAAGGAAGGTAATCTCGCGGAAGGAAATGATTAAGGTAGAGAGGTGTAGGGTTTAGTTTTTTTGTCAATGGGGCATCATTTTACACCTTAAACCTCATAGGTTCGGGGGGGGGGGGGGGAGGATAGAAGTTAGCAAAAAAATGAAACTAGTAAGATGCCATGCTTTTTGGGGAGAGAACTTTTTAGACGTTGCATGACAAGATATCATGCTTTTGGGGAGAGGATGGGGAATGGCTGTTTAGACTTTGCATGATAAGAAGACCTCGCTTTGCTACTTAACTTTTGCGTATCTTTTTGAGTGTTCCATTTCTCTACTTGGGTCTTATTTACACATTACGCGCTTTTTCCTTGAAATGATGTTGGATCGCTATTAATCATCACTATCAACATTCTGGCTTTTTAGATTAGCTATTTATTTAGTTATCATTGTAGTGTAGCTCAATTGGAAGTTGGAGACAGACTCTTGAGCCTAAGGGTTTTAAGCTAAGCAGAACGAAGACAGAATACCTCGAGTGTAAGTTCAGCGCTGGGCCGGGGGAAGTGGNAAAGATGAAAGTAGCAAAAATGAGTATGTTGAAATGGATGTGCGGACACACTAGGATGGATAAGATTAGAAATGATGACATTCGGGAGAAGGCGCACGTGGCTCCGGTGAGCACCTAATTTTTGATGACAAGATGCGGGAAGCGAGACTCAGATGGTTCGGGCATGTACAGAGGAGAAACCCAGATGCTCCAGCAAGGAGGTGTGAGCGGCTGGTCGTGGAAGGAACGAGAAGAGGTAGAGGGCGGCCTAAGAAGTATTGGGGAGAGGTGATCAGGCAGGATATGGCGAGGCTTCAGATTCCCGAGGACATGATACTTGATAGGAAGTTGTGGAGGTCGAGTATTACGGTTGTAGGCTAGGAGGTAGTTGAGTCTTGCGTTATTTTGTACCTTTGTGAGCCTAGTCCGGTGGGGTTTTGTATAAGATAGCTAGGGGCAATGTCGTGTCTTACTATTTTCTATTTTCGACGCAGGATCCATTTACTAGCCATCGTTTTTGCTTTGCATTTTTCTTCTGCATTTATGTTCCTTTTTCCCTATGATCTCCGTGGTGAATCTAATATTCTCTCCTTTTGTCTTTTTATTATCTTGAGCCGAGAGTCTTTCGGAAACAGCCTCTCTACCCCTTCGGAGTAGGGGTAAGGTCTGCGTACACACTACCCTCTCCAGACCCCACTTGTGGGATTTTACTGGGTTGTTGTTGTTGTTGTTGTTGTTGTTGTTGTTGTGTAGCTCAATTAATTATCCATTATTTGTCATTCTCAAAAAAAAAAAAAAAGAAATTACCCATCATTTGTATCTTAACCTAGTTATTTTTAACGCCGTTAAAATGTTTGAGGAAACTTTGATCACAAGTACTTGTTGGTTCAACGTTCTAGTGTTTATCAATTAGATTTAGGATGTTTAATCTAAACTAAGTTTGCATTAGATGATGAAGAGAGAATGTAAGCCATCATTTTATCCCAAAATTTTTACTTAGGTATGAAAAACTCCCAGATAAGCACTCCCTCCCTTCCGCCGCCCCTGGTATTATTGAATGTAAATTTGTGCACGAGCCTATGCAAACAGGGTTAAAAGCGGTAAATAGCGAAGGGTGTGACCTAGTGGTCAATAAAGTGGGAAGAGAATCATGAGGTCTTAGGTTCAGAATTTCAGCAGAGAAAAAAACACTAGGTGATTTCTTCCCATTTGCTTTAGCTATAGTGGGCAGAGTTACCCGCTACCAGTATTGGTGGGAGGTAGCAGATACTCGGTAGAATAGCCGAGGTGTACGCAAGTTGGCATGGACACTACCATCGTAAAAATAATGTACCCCTTCCCTTCCATTTTGTGTTACTATCTTGTTATTATTCCATTCAAAAAAGAAAGACACCTTTCTATATTTGGAAATAATCTAACTTTAAACGTCACATTTACCTTTAATGACATTCTTTTATAGCCACAGAAATTTTATTGCATGTTTAAGACCACAAGTTTCAAAAGTTTTTCTTTCAACTTTGTGGCTTGTAAATTGAAATGGAGGGAGTAGTTTCTTTCTTTGCTAGAATAACATTGTGTAGAATATTTTATTAATTCACTTTGGTGTATCCGTTTCAGTTAAATGATATATAAGTTACATGGTCACTTGATGGCTGTATGTCCTCCAACTTATTCATTTATTTCACTTTGGTGTATCTGTTTCAATTAAATGATATATAAGTTACATGGTCATTTGATGGCTGTATGTCCTCCAAATTCCACCTTTGCTTCTTTCTTTTTTTTCTCTTGAATGTAAAATGCATCTAGTTTGTGAGCTTATGTAAATTATTTGGCATCTTAGCAATTGTGCTTTATCATTATTTTTTTTAATTGTTAATTTAGCCCTGAAATCTAAGTTTAATCATCAATAAAGCGTTTTCCATCACACCATGATCTCAAAACTGCAGCTGGTGGCAAGGTTGACTAAAGATATCGTTGAGACATACCGCATCTGCAATCCTCAGTTCAACTACTCTGAAGAATTGAATCCAAAGAGATTCCTGACTTCCCCATCGGTTGGAGTGTTGAATGATGGCTTTGATAATGCAAACTCAGACCTCATTCTTTCGGTCAATCTGGAGTTGGTCAATTTGGACACAAAGAGAAGGTTGGTTATTCTTCCCTGTTACACAATTTTCTCACGCATTTTTGGTCCTAATTGCTTGATATGCAAAACCTTTAGAGAGGAGGAGATTTGTTTTATACCTTTCCCCTGCAAAAGTTTCGGATTTGGTTAAATCGGAATATTTTGCTGGTAGTTGTCTCATTATCGCTATTGAGTATTTTTTGTTGTACATTATGTACTTTCTGGTTTAGTGCACTTTATTTATGTAGCAGTGCTTCGGCTTTGCAGGCTTAACAAGAAAAATAAATATTTGATTATCTACTTTAATGACATGAATCTGCACTCCTTTCTCTTGTTTATGAGTAAATTACGGTAGTGGTGCTGTGTGATTAATCTGAAGTGCTTTTCTTTCCATGGAGCAATTCGATGATCACTAAAGTTCTACACGCTCAAATTGACATATTTCATTCTAATCGTAGTTTCCTTGTAAATCCTCTCACTTGTCACAAATTGGTCTAATTTCTGTACTGTTTTCACTGTATGCAGGTATGTTATTAAGGATATGCTTGGCCATGGAACTTTTGGTCAGGTTGCGAAGTGCTGGGTTGAAGAAACACACAGATTTCTTGCTGTTAAGGTCATCAAAAATCAACCAGCTTATTATCAACAAGCACTTGTTGAAGTTTCTATCCTGACAACAGTAAAAATCCCTCAGCTGGTTTTGTACTTTCAGTGCTAAGTCAGCAAAGTTGATCTGGATATCATTAGCTCCTTTTTTCTTTCTTTTTCCAGTTAAATAAGAAGTTTGATCCTGATGATAAGCACCATATTGTTCGGATCTATGATTACTTTGTATATCGACGTCACTTGTGCATTGCGTTTGAACTGCTTGACACAAATCTGTAAGTTGCTGGAGAAGCAGCGTTTTAAATGTTTCGTGTGGTTTTCTGCATCAATTACAGCCACAACATTCTGAGATTTAATGCAGGTATGAGCTTATAAAGTTGAACCATTTTAGAGGATTGTCACTGAGCATTGTCCAGTTGTTCTCGAAACAGGTAATCAGTTGCTGGGCTGAAGGTAGAACTTCTGATGATGGTCACATCTGTTTGTGTAATAAAGATTATAATAAGTTTGCCTTCCAATGTGTATAGATATTGCGTGGATTAGCTCTTATGAAAGATGCTGCTATAATTCACTGTGATCTGAAGCCTGAGAACATTCTTTTATGCACAAGGCAAGCTTCTCTGATACCATGGTCGGAGATATTATTGTGCTTCACTGCCTTCTCATTTTATTTAGTTTCTTGCATCTTGGCAGTGTGAAGCCAGCTGAAGTTAAAATTATAGACTTTGGATCAGCATGCATGGAGGATCGTACTGTTTACTCTTATATCCAGGTGACTGTTGCTTCTTTCTGTTCAAATTTACTTGATTGCGCTGATATCTCTATATTTACTAAATTCTTCTTATGCAGAGTCGGTACTATCGATCACCTGAAGTTCTTCTGGGATATCAGTATCCTTAAGTTTTTAGTTAGATCCTACTTTCTCTCTTCACCTTTTTTGATAAAAGTACCTGCAGGAGGCTGAACTGGTGCAGCCACAGAATTTGACTGCATGTGTAATTGGGTGGAGAAGTTTTTGTAGTAACTTTCATTGGCTCTCAGTTAATAGTGGAAAAATCATTCGTTCAGCTTTATGTGGCAATATAATTGGAATGCTTTCCGTCCTTCTGTCTTAAATATGCTAAGTTTCTTATATTTTGTCACCAGAATCACAAGCCATCAGGTTGGGCATTCTCTAATTAGCTAGATCAGTTAGGAGAAGCATGTCATGTCCTCCCTTAACCTCCGCAACTATAAATTCATTGATTTTGGAACTTTTGCTACAATGTTTAAAGTGAACAGTTTTTGTCCCCAGTAGACTTAGTCATCAAAAGATATATGTAAAGAGTTTTCTATTTATGCAGTCTTTTAACATATTGCGACAATCATAAATGACTGGAGTTCACATTTTATTTCCTAATATCGTACCTCATTATTTGAATTTGTTATGGTTTTAGTGTATTGTATACCTTAATCCTTCTCAGATATACCACTGCTATTGACATGTGGTCGTTTGGGTGCATAGTTGCTGAATTATTTCTAGGACTTCCACTGTTCCCAGGAGCTTCAGAATTTGATCTTCTGAGAAGAATGATTAAAATACTTGGGTAAGCTCCCATGCCTTAGAAATCTCGTATTTCGCCTTACAAGTTCTTTCCATTTTTTTAATAAGGAAAAAAAAACTTTACGGGTTTTTGCTTTTTTTTTTTTTTTTTTTTTTTTTTTTTTTTTTTTTTTTTTTTTTTTTTTTTTTTTTTTTTGTCTTTTTTTTTTATTGTTTTTACAGTTAGTTTCTAACAAGAAAATTATACAGTTATGGTATCAAAACTTGGATACTCTATAGCTACTTTAGGTAGCTGATTCTACAAACTGTAGTAGTTACCTTGTTTTGATGGTTCTATGTAACTAGTAAAAGGAAGGTAAGGTTTCTCTCCGAGAAGTTTGAACCAATCATACTGATAGTTGCATGTGATGGGTTGACACTGAGGGAGCTGGTCAAGGTCATGCTCATTATTAGCGCCTAGCAGACTTATGAGTAGAAAACATTATTGATTAAGGACTGGCTAGAGAGCCTGAATAAGAACAAAAGAAAGACCTTGACAAGGCATTTGCAAGTCTTAGGAACTCACGAAACAAGCTTATGCAGCTCAACAGAATCAGATCTAAAGACTAAATTAAACATAGGGTAAATTTTGGACGGAGTTCCTAGGAATGGCTTATTTCAGGGGACTGCTCCTGTCTCTACTCTCTAGTAGAGGTTATTTTTGGAGATTACATAAATTGGTGAAGATACTCAAACACTGAAAACCCAAGTACATTTGTGTGGGATCTTTTACATGTTGACCTTGCACACTTGTGGGATCTCAAACATGTTAGTTTACATGCTCATCTGAGTTAGGTGCCACAAGGAATAGTTATCTTCTTGAAGCTTGCACACCAAGACCTTTATATCTAACTGGTTAAGATTTTTGTTCCTTGTCCAGCAGGGCAATTGCTTTGTCTGCTGACGCCTCTAGGCTTTATCTTCTTATAACAGTTATATCTTGCATGCGAGTTGATTTGGTCCTTCCTTGGTTATGAAGGAAAAATTTGGGTTGCTCTGATGTTCATTATGTTGCAATATGTAAGGTTCTCATATATCAACTCCTGTGGCTTAGTTGAATACTATTTTAATTTTTGTGCAGGGGGCAACCCCCTGATCACATACTAAAGGACGCAAAAAACACCAGCAAGTTCTTCAAGTTTGTTGGGAGCATTAATCATGAAGAGTGTGGATCAGGTCCTTTGAGCAGATCTAGTGTTTATCAAGCTTTGACAGAAGAAGAATATGAAGCTGTAAGTCAATGAAATTCAAAACTAATGAATTATGACAACAGGGTCACTCCCATGCTGCTGGAAATCATACATTACTTTTACTTAAAAATTGGAGTACTTTTCTTGGTGTCTAGTCTCCTAGAATAATTCGTATTTGCTGGTAGCGTTTAGAGATTAAGTTCTTTTTTGATATGCTATCTTTTGGAAATGACATTGTAGCCAGGACTAGGAAAAGTTTTTCTTTTGGAACTGAAATATCTAAAATACCAAGATCAAGGAAGAACATTAATAGAAAAAACAAGAACATAATTTTGTGCATTACATTGGTAATATGTGGCACCTTCACGTGTTTACTTGTTGTTTTGCTGGAAAGAATGTTGTTTTACTTCTTGGTTGTGTTCATGTGGTACCCTAACTGGGGAGCGTCTGTGAGAGTAGATGCAGATCAGTTTATTTTGCTGTCTTTTCTGCACTCAGTAAATGTCTGGATTGTATTATATCTTCTTTACTGCTTCCTACTCATTAGAGTTCTTTGATTAGAGAATCTTTCAGCAATTCTGCTTTTAGGGAATTATACGAAATTCAGCCCCATGATGTGCAAGTCTAGAAGGTGTCCATTTCATTGTCACCTACTTAGCTGGAAATTCAGTTTGTAAAGGTAAAATTGGAATCAAAATTCTTGAAACAATGGGAAAAGCACTACATACGAGTTAAATTACCTGAATGAACAAATCAGAAGCAGGAAGATGGAACCTAAAGTCTCTCAATTTATCTGATGCTGGATTATGGAACTTTTGACCAGCATCCTTACTTCCATTGCCACAATGTTGTTCTCGTGAAGGTTTCTAGCAGGTTACAGTGTCTGGTGGCAGCTTACGATAAAAGTGACAGTCATTATCATTCTTGTCAGTTGAGTAAAGAATGATGTCTAACATTCAACATAGCTGGAAAAGTAGCGAAATTACCAGGCGTTGGATGATAAGTGTTGAATTGTGTGACAACTTCATCAAAACTCTTAAATTGTTAAGAGAAACACATTTATTTACTTATTTTAGGTCTGCAACTATCAGTATTGAGCTAAAAATCTGACTGGTATAGGTAAATTGTTACTTTGAGGTGAATTATTTTGAATGCTATGTGCTATACCTCTAAGTGATACCAATAGACTTCCAGGTTGAAGGGAAGAAAGTTCTTCAATGCCTATGAGATGTGTTTACAAGCAAATTGAAAAATAAGGAATGAGAATTTAAGAGGGCAATCTAGCACCAAAGGGTGTGTCTTAACTTATGTTGCTCGGGCTCTCCGAAAATGTCAGTGGGTGTGTGTCAAATCCTTCAAAGTAGTGCATTTTTGGAGGATCCGACACGAGTGCGGCTATATTTTTGGAGAGTCCACACAACATAGGTCTTAACGGTCAATGAAGTTCCAGCAGAGACAAGTTCTAGGTGATTTATCCCATTTGCCTAAACCTTGGTTGGTTGAGTTACCCAATTCTTGTGCTGGTGAACTAGTGAAAGGTAGCTGATACTCGAAAATAATCAAGGTGCGCGCAGGCTGGCCCTGACACCATCATTGTAATATATATTGAGGCCGATCCATAATTTTGAGTTTATGGATTCTAGAAAAGGCAGGTTACTGGGTTTTGGATAAATTATTTATACTTATTTAGTGGATTTCTTATCACAAACACAGGGCTTGGCCAAAGCTACTGTATTCTGCCGAACCCGTAGTTAGAACATTAGCTCCACCTCTGAATATATATGTACACACGCGCACGGTTATCTAAGAGGTCAACCTATATGTGCTCAGGTTTACTGACATCGTGGTAGGGGGCTTACTTTTTTAGCTTAAGTGATAGTAATGTCTGAATAATAGAAGTGCTACCTACTAGTAGAAATTGTGATAGACATGCTGAGGGGGATTTATTTCATGCATGCAAATTCCTTAATGAGAAGTACATAGAGAGGGAACTCTTTCATCATTTCACAGAACTTTTATCATTTGCATTTAGTGAGAGAGTGCATTTGTTTTTGCTATTGCATAAAGAACAAATGTTCAGGTCTCTATCTTGGTTGGAGAGAGATTTAACATGAGAGACAGATAGGGATTTCTCACTATTTCCAAAGCTTCCCCTTACCAAGACTTCTAACTGGACCCTGGTACTTTTACAGCTACTATTGGAGTTGCTAACATGACATGCATGAAAAATGGATCTTGATGATGTCTGCTTTTGAAACTATTTGTCGGACAAACTGTAACTTTTTACACAAAAAGACCTGCATCTACCTGCAGGAAAGAGTGTGCTGAACCATGTAAACTGAGGTTATTTTGGAAGTGGTTAGATGCAACAACCGGACTTTAGCATCATTTTTGGCGCTGATGTAGCATTAGTGAGTGTTATGATCTTTAACCTGAGATTAAAGCATTTGCTTCCTTTTCTTTCTTCTCTGTATAGGTGGAAGAAAAAACAGTTTAAGCAAAGTAACCTATAAAAAAGATACAGTAATAAAAAAGGATATGCAAGGAGATGTATACATGAAAGGTAGGATGTTTTACTATGGCTTCCCCGTATTGCATGTTTTTATTTTAAAACATCAACTATTTTCTTTTTTTCTTGATTTAGTTTTTTTTTTTCGTTTTTGAATTTGAATATGAAGAAGAGCCTTTGAGATATTGGTTCCTTTCATACATCTGGCATTTTGGCCGGTTCTGTTAGACCTTTTCTTTGGTTTGTTTTCACCTGGACAATAACTCATGTTATAAGATATTTCAATGCGTAGGAACTCCAGTAAACTATGAAGACTTGAATTTGGAAAATATACAAGTTGCTTATCAGTTTGATAGTCATGAGGATGGCTGCTGTGGAGTTTAAGCTCTTTTTCCTCTAATTTCAATAGTGCTCTGTTGCATGTGTAACAGCTCCAAGTCGTTTCATTTCATTCCAGAATCTGGCAGTGTAAACATCATTGAAGTAATTCAGGATCTGATATCCTACCTTGGCAACTGATATTTGCAGACTTAATGGAAATTTTCTTCAGAGAATAGCATTACATGAAATTAGTTTCCGGGGAAGAGATTTTACTTCTATGATCTGCTTTTCAGAATCTTCAATTGCTACTTTGTCCTTCAGGGTACATAGCAGCATATTAATCCAAACAAGACACTTATATTCTTATTTGTGTTGGATGCTATCTCTAAGCTCAATTATAGTACGAGATGTCCCAGGAAAAGGTCGACCCAAACAGCCTCTCCTGAAAATTCTGATAGTTTTAATTGCTAACTATAGCACACCACGTAACGATTGATTCTTTCCTTCTATGAATGGTTAGCACACCACGTAACGATTGATTCTTTCCTTCTATGAATGGTTATCTCAGTTATCAATGCGTCTTTACAAGTCATATTGCAAGATAGTCTTCAAATGCTAACATATTGTCAGCCGCTAATGACATATTACTGCATCTCATTCAGAGAGAGTCAAAAAAGCCAGTAATCGGGAAGGAGTATTTCAATCACATGAACCTTGAAGCAATCGTCAGAAAATATCCTTACAGGAAGAATTTGGCAGAGGAGGATATTATTAAAGGTTAGAATTTTTACTTTTCAAGGCATAAATACTGTATATAGATAGGTAATCGTGAATGTTGTTTACATATTTCCGAAGAGTTTCTGATGCTTTACAAAATTTTATTGTTGCAGAGAGTCAAATACGATCAGCACTAATAGATTTCTTGAGGGGGCTTGTGGAGTTTGATCCAGCCAAGCGATGGTCACCTGTGCAGGTTGCTTATTATCTACTTGTAGAAAAAATTTGATTTCTAGTTTCTGTTAAATGCCTTTTTTGGTGAAAGATAAATATTTGTGAACAATGTGAAATCGTTTGAAAATGGTTCTTGATACAACAAGTTGGGCAAACCAACTCTTAATTGGTGGTACCATAAAAAAAGCAGTTGACCCTATTGAGTCGGAGAACTCTAATGCTTTCTCACATAAACTCTCAATAGTTCCATCCTCCCTCTGATCATATAATTGTGAGTTCGTGGAATAATGAGCACCACAGCTACAGTAAAGTTGTCCAGCAGCAGCTACTTGAATGCTTTTATTCATAACACAGGTAGTTGCATGCTCTCTAACTGGTAACTCACTCTTGAGGTTGTTACTGTGATGTCCTTGGTATAAAGTCATTCTGTCATCATGCTTTTGGAGAAATCTTGGGTGGGACCCTGTTTAAAGAATATTTAATAAGAACTTTTAGTAAGGCCTTTCTTTGATGAAAACAACTCATTTTTAACCCGATAGGTTAAAGATCATGGGGTGTTAGTTTGATTCTTCAGACTTAATCTGGATTTCATGTACGTCACTGGGTAGTTAAACTTAAGGCAAATAATTGTCTTAGGGCCAAAGGTGGACACAATATTAGAAGATGGATTATAATGCTTTGTTAACTTTGTAGTAGGAGGATGCAGGATATTCTTTCAGGGTGACATCAGGCTCTAGGTTATTTCATTTAATGTCTGCAGAACCCCCTCCCTTTAGAAATGGAGTTTATTTTCTCGCTCAATATCTCTATTCTTTTTTATTTCTCAGATTAAACAGAATAAGCTATAATAGCCACTGATATAGATCTTCTGCTATATGATAAACTACTTCATTTAAACTCTATTAAAGGAGAATGGAAGTAACTGACTTTCACAATTTTAAGGAGTTTCATGCATCTTACTCCTACAAAAGCAATAATAAATTATGCAACTATGATTCAAATGTTGTCAGATAGCACCATTAGTAATGGAATAGAGAGGAAATTACTTTCCTTAAAGTTGATCGATGATAAGAGAGAATTAACAATCACCCACAGCATTTTATGTCATTTTTCATATTTTAAGAGATTCAAATATTGTGCTGTAGGCATCAAAGCATCCTTTTGTGACTGGGGAGCCTTTCATATGTCCTTATAGACCTGCACCAGAGACACCTCGACTGGTGAGTGGATCATCTTTTAGGCTACCAGGAATTTTGTTTTTCTATCTATTTGATCTCGAGTATTATATCTATCTCATATGCTTGTCTGCCCATACTTTACATTATAAGAAAAATATGATTGTCAGTCCAGTTCTTAGGAGTAACTATGTATGTCAACAGGAATTCTGAATTTCCGTTGTCTAGCTTACTTCATTGTTATGCCTGTGCTCATCCTTGTTTTACATAGAATCTGGATTGCTCTGACCTGAGCTGTTTTTTCCTCTCTAAGCCTTAGTATGATTGAAGTTGACAATTTCATGATGGTTTCTCTATATACTGATCATACTCTTCACTTTGCTTCCAATGTACGATGCACTTTTGGTAAGAATTATTTATTTAAAATGAACTTTCGGAAGATGAGGGCTTATGGAATCACATATGTTCTTTTTTGTTTGATAACGTAATCACGTCTGATCTTCTGACTGATTATCTTTTCTTGTAGCCTGTTTCTCAGAATGTTAAGGTGGATCATCACCCAGCTGGAGGCCATTGGTTTGCTGCTGGTCTATCCCCTAATGTGAGCAAACTGCTGTATATATACACAATTAAATATGCCTACTTGTCATCTTCGTTTACCTTATCAACATTCAAAGGCAAATATGGGTTTCCGTAATGTTATGCAAAGGATTTTATACTGTCATGCAGATTCCAGGCAGAAATCGAGTGCCCGTGCAGAGCAGCCCTCATTATCAGGTTATGCAATATGCACATGTAGGTAGCTATGGTAGTCTAGGAAGTCATAGTAGCTACCACGATGGTGCTGGGCTTAGTAGCAGTTATGGAAGTTATGGAGATAGCAGTAATCTTCATGCATTTTATTCGCCTGCGGGTCCATCAGGCATGCATCTCTATGCACAGAATGGTGTATCAATTCTTGGAAGCAGTCCAGACACCAGGAGATTTAAGCAGCTCCCTCCTGGGAATGGGCTTGGTGTCAGCCCAGGAAATTTTGTTCCTATGTCTCTTGGAACGAGCCCATCACAGTTTACTCCTCCTAGCATGTATAGTCAGATCTCTGCTGGTTCTCCAGGAAATTATGGCCCTTCATCACCATCAAGGGGTAGTTGTCATGGATCACCTTTAGGGAAGATGGCAGCAGGTAGTCAGTATAATAATAGAAGAAAAGGGTGGGGATATCCTGGTAGCTATCAGTCTCAAGAAATATCATCATCCCCTCACTGGCAAGGGCAGGTTGCAGATGGAAACAACTCCAGCCAAGCCAATTCTCCTGTCTTTGGTGGCTCTCTATTACATCTACACAGTAACTCAAATCCCAGACAGCAAGGATCAAGCAGTGCGACCGTTGGTTACTCTAATGTGCATAATGTTACAAGTTCATCAATGCAAGGTGGGCATACACAATTCCAGAAAACTCATGGTGTACATGATAAACCTGAGGGTAGTAACTCATTGCCTGATCCCGGCGATTGGGATCCCAATTACAGGTAAATTAATGGGATGCATCATCTAACAAATCCAAACAGCTTAGAAATTGGATTCTTTTTGAAAAGAAAATATAGAGAGCTCATTGGCAGAAGGTGGTAGCTGTATCCTTGCTATATCTCTTTCTATGTTTTTGACATCTCGGGCTCTAACACATCAATTTATTCTATTGACTATCAATGTTTCCCTTTTTATCCTTTTCAATAGGTGTAGTACAGTAAAACATGATTATCTAATGTACTGGCTTTAAGTTGAAACCTCTTTCATGAAGTTCTCTATGGATTGTTGGGTTAATCCCTAGCTCATATAATGAGTCGTAACATGTTTCGTTTTGCCTCGTTTTTGAATCAGTGAAGAACTGCTTCTGCAAGAAGATAGCTCAGAAATGAGCAACTTAACAAGTGAATTCGCCAAGGGGATACATCTTGGTCAAGCTGCAGTCTCCCAAGAACCATTGACTGGAGTGAGAAGACCAAGCCAGATCTCTAATCTAAATCCCAGTATGTCTCAGAGGTAAGTTTTAATTTTATATTTTTCTAAAGGAATAACCTTACATGTCCTCACATCCCTTTTCTTTGTTGATATACATTTCTTTCCTTAAGAGTCTTATGTGACAAAACATATCAGGTATATCTCTCATCATGCCTGCTTTGGGTAAAATTGAAGTTGTATCAAGGCAGTTAAGACTTTTGTTTGTTTCCCATAAGATACTGGAGGCTCTGATCGCCAGGAACTCACATCTAATATCTAATTTTGATGAATAGTTGAAAACAATTTGATAGCTGAAATTTATGCTTCAAGATGCTTTTTTAGGACACTCATGGATTTTCTGCTTCCTTGTTCCTAAATTGTCTTAGTTGACTTTGCATGCTTTTCAGGTAAGTTTTGAAATTAGTATTGTTTAGTATTTTTTTCAAAAATGTAGGGTCAACTTAATGAGTTTTGGTTTTAAAGAGAAATTGTACTGAAAAAAAGTAATAGTGGGTCTGACTTAAATCTTATAGAATATGATATGTATGGGAATTTCTTTATTTGGGATATGGACATTATTTAGAACGCACACTTCTTTCTTTGTTTATTGTCCTTTCTTTTTATCCATTCCTGCTTGTGCAAGTGCTCTTGTTTTCTTTCTCTTCACTATTGCTTGCATGATTTAGACCAACGGGGCAAACTCAAGCATTTTTACCTGGAGAGGTAGGAAGCCCTCCTTCAGGTCATGAGCCGCATGCTGGATTCATGCACACAATGGGAAATCCATCATATTTAATGCCTCATTTTGCACAAAGTTCTCCAAGCCGCTTGGGACAGCAGCCTCTTTATCGATTTAACCAGGGGAGACCAGCTGTTCATTACAATGAAAGTCATGCCAAGGCGCAGTCATCTCATTCTACCTATAATATGGATGCTCCAAATTCTGCTCCAAGGAATGGTGCATCATGGGGTAAAGATTCACTAGTTTCTCTCTCTCTCTCTCTCTCTGTTTTTTTTTTCTTTTTTCTCCTTTTGTATTTGTTCAAATAGCCTCTTAAGAGTTGATTAGATAGGTTTTGACATGTTTCCAACCACAACCTTGTGCTGTTGTAGGGCGTAGAGGTAGCAACCCTATTCCAAACATTCCACCAACTTCCAGGACAAGAAAAGACTACAAGAGAGTTGTTTAACTTTTTGTAGTCTTCATCGGCGATTATTTCGATAAGCAGTTCAGACAAGTGAAGCAAAGCGGGTAAGCCTGCTTTAGTGGCTTGCGTTACAAATCCTCATCGACGTCCTTTTGTAGTGCTTGCATAAATGTTAATGGTTATAACACCACCATGATCTGGTCATGCCTGTTTGTCATCACCATGCTCGATCTGGGAGCTCGAATTATGCTGTTCTCTCCAGTTCCAAAGGGCCAAAAGACGTGGATGTCAATTCCCCGGATCTAATTTATTGCAAGAAAACTCTAACCAAGTTGTCTGTTAGCATTGTTGCTCCAGGGGATTAAGGGGGATTTATTAATTATTTATTTGAGCAAAGCTTGGTTGTGTTGAGTAGGGTGTTGAATCATAGTTTTAAGGTTTATTTTTTAGCAATCTCTTTGTAAGCTAAGACAGGAAACTTGATTCCTTGTAAGTTGGATATTTATTTCAATATCCTCTTAACACATCAATGTGACTACTCATAAAATGGAATGACGTGAAGAAGCGTGTAATTTGTGTTCTTAATTTGTTTACCATTGATATTCATTGAAATATAACTATATAAGTCAATCTTCACAGCAGAAGCTAATTATGAGGGTTGTAGTAGGCTAGCAGCTATTTAGTTTTTTGGTACTATTCTTTTTCAGTGATCTATTCCTTTTGATTTACATAAAAATAAAAGTAAGATTCTATTTGAGATTCATTTTTTTGATTTTCTATTTCAATAATCCCCCGTATTTCAATAGAAGCTTGTTGCTGGTTAGCACTAAATTTGGAATAAGATAATACGTTTAGAAACACATTGTTGGCTTATCCTGATAAGTGGAATGCTAAATTTAACAATGATTTGGTAGAATTAAGCAATATGTAAATCTCACTTTCTGAATATGTTAAAGATCTCATTAAGCTTCAAAAATTGGACAGGCTCGGAATATACCTTGGCTAGTCGATATCAATAAATATGAATGAATATCTCTCATTAGACGATGACAAGAACGAAAACGTGGCTGATAAACACCAGGTGACCTCGATATGTGAAATACTGTTTTTTTTTTTTTTTTTTTTTTTTTTTTTTTTGGTGGTAAAATATGTTGAGATAATGATATCCAGAAGACCAGGCAACCTACAGTCTCCTTTCTAAGACTCAGGAATTTACTTAATACCAGTGTCTTTTAATGTGAATTTAAACATCTATTCGTAATATTTATTGTATATTTTAAATTTGAAGCCATAATTTTTATTTAAGAAATATTTTTTTTGAAAAAAGATAATTAGATGCACTAAGCTCTCGTTAAACATTCGACACAAGGAAAGGTAGAATCAAATTCAGTCGCAAATTTACTTTAAATTTTTACGAGATGTTATTTTGATGATGTGAACATAAAATCTCTTGATTATACAGTGACTCCTCTTATCGTTGTGCAATGCTCTTTCACTAATTAGCTTTTAAATAATGATAAATAAATTATATGTAAAATGAGATTGAGGGAGAAATAAACATTAGCAGGATCTAGAACTATTGATTGGAAAGAGTTGGAGAGAGAGAAAGCTCGAATAGGAAAGAGGACAAAGTTTTTTTAAAAAAAAAAAAAAAAAAAAAAAAAAAGGCAGTGGAAACGTGTACTGCTGACAAAACAAATAAGAAGTCCTACGCCACACGATATGGGACCCGCATATCTATTCCAGCCAATAGGCAATGGCTATTGATCTCTACTGACCCCAGCCCCCATATCCAGAACTAAATGCACTCTTCTCCCCTCGCGTTATTTTCATTTCCTCCATCAATTTAATTATCGAAACAAAAAAAAAAAAACAAATAAAATTATGAAAAATACAACCAAAAAAAATTAACGAATATCAATTCTGTTGCAACAAACTCAACTTCTACCACCGCCATTGCAACAGCATTACTGTCACTTACTTCTCTTCATTCTCTCTTATCTGTATTTTTTCTTTTAGCGGTTCAACTGCCAAATCCAGGTATGTAGCTGCACTGATCACTTTAACATCTTCGTCTTGTTCATTTTCCATTTGATTTCAATTGTGACAGAGGTTGCTCTAACTTTCTTATCGTACATAATTTTACAATCTGTTCACCTCGTAATGTTCGCCTTGTATACAAATCTGTTAATTCCCTCGTAATGATCGCCTCGTGCGGAGATGCAAGCTGTTATTTACATTGCGTACTTGTTATGGTTGTACTTTGTGTTGTAATGGCTTTTATAGTAGTTAATTTCAAGCTTTATTGGAACTTTCAAAGAGCTCTGTAGGAAGATTGTGTATATGAGATTGCACCTAAGCAACTCCGCTTTATTTATTTCATACCTGGCCTGCTAAACTACTTGATGATTGAAATTTCTTAGTACAACTTTACTGAGGCTTCTAATTCCCTTACCTAAGTATGGAACAAGTAGCTAGCTCACTGAAACTAACATATATACCATTTCTTTCTGCTATAATTTGTTTTCCTGTATTTACCGCGTACTGCGGAAGATACCAAGACCAGAAAATGAACTTTTTAAATGTTCAGAAAACGTTTAGTTGTTGTTTGTCCAAATTTCTGTCTGCTTTCCTTATTTTAGAAACTAATTCTCTCTATTGTCAAATTTTTTTTGAATTTTTTTGGATTTTGTCCCTTGTGGACTACCTGCAGGAAGCTGCTAAGTGATTAAGGAGATTAATATCAGCATAGCAACTTGGTCATAAGCTGATATTGTTGTGATTCATCTACCTTGTTAAACGACGTGTGATGGTCTTGGATTTTTAGAAAGGCATAGCCCTCATGATGTCCACAGCAGCAGTTATTGGACTCAGTGCAGGAAAAAGACTCCTCAGCTCTTCCTTCTATTATTCCGATCTTAATGAAAAGCTAACTTGTACCAGTGATCATAGTTTGCCTTGCCATCACGTTCCTTCCATTAAGAATGTGATCACTGCGAAGAAGTCATCCGATTACAGCCCCAGTTGTGTATCCAGTCGAAAATCACAATCCGCCAAGTCTCTTAAAGAGCATGTGGACATTACAGCCGACCCTTCTGATGTGCCGTCCTGGTTTGAAATGTATGAACAATTGCAAAATGAAAGCGATGATGAGGACGAGTCGGTGGAGGTTCTCCTCTTGCTGCAGAAGTCTATGCTTGAAAAGCAATGGAATCTTTCTCTTGAGCAGACATTGACAGCTTCTCCGCAACATGAAAAGAAAAGTAAGAAGATGCATATTACTTGCTCAGGGACATCTGCTAGGCGGAGGAGAATGGATTCTCGACAAAGAGTTCTTGATCGACATAGTTCAGCTACACCAACCAGTGCAGCGAAGCCACTGAGATCAATTATTGGTCCAGAGCTACTTCAAAATCGTTTAAAAGGTTACGTTAAGGGTGTAGTAAGCGAAGAACTGCTCACCCATGCTGAAGTGCTTCAACTATCCAAAAAAATTCAAGTTGGCCTTTATTTGGAAGAGCAGAAATCCAGGTAACCAACTTCATGCCTCTTCTCTTAAGTGTAAACCTGAGATTACAAGCTGAGCATATCACGACTGTAACAGAACCTAGTGCACAAGAACCAAAATGAAGTAAAAGAAACCTGTCTGGATCCATCCCACTTTCTTTAGCTTTTTAGCCAGGCAAAACACACACTCATGAAACTAATAGTAGTTGTTATCAAATTCAGAAACAGTCTATTTCACAGATTGTCTGACTGATCTCTTTACTTCTCTAAAATTATTTATTTCAAAAACAGAAAGATCTTCATAAAATTTGATGTCAGACTGTTAGCACCATTTGTTGGACTGTGCTGTATACTTCTCTACACTTAACAATTTAGTAAAGCATGTGAGGAGGAAGGTTGTTGTGCCTTTAGAAATGCTATGCCACTGTGTAATTGAATTTTGGGGGTGATTACGGTTCATGTCCTGTCTTATCATAAAAGAAAAAAGTACAACCGAGCTGGAATGCTGAAGGACAGTGTACTTTGCCTGTGTAACTTATTTCGTTTATACACTTCAAAAGTTTCTGTATCAAGAATTCTAGCTACTTCCTTATTGTTAACATGTTTCAGTTCAGGGGAAGTAGTTAAGCACTTGAGATAGATTGGGGGTTGGAATTAGTGTTTTACCATATTTATGGCTCCATTATTCTATCATTAAATAGGAACAATCTTAACTATTGAAGGTTTTAAAGATGTCTCACACAGTGTCTTTTAAAATCATGGAAAACGTCAGGCTTAAGGAAAGATTGGGATGCGAGCCTTCTGATGATCAACTTGCTGTTTCCTTGAAAATGTCACGTACTGATCTACAATCTACATTGATTGAGTGTTCCTTGGCAAGAGAAAGGCTTGCAATGAGCAATGTTCGTCTTGTCATGTCAATTGCTCAAAGATATGATAACGTGGGTGCTGAAATGGCTGACCTCGTTCAGGTGACTCCAATGTTGTGCAATCAAAAGATAGACATGCAAATTTCTTGCACTCGTATATTGATCAATATTGTTTGAAATCAAAATTTGCACCTCTGAAAGAAAAGTCGTTAATTTTCATGCAGGGAGGCCTTATTGGGCTGCTTCGTGGGATAGAGAAATTTGATCCCTCTAAAGGATACAAAATCTCAACTTATGTTTATTGGTGGATTCGCCAGGTATGGTCATTGTTTGTCCAGAACCTCAACCAACAAAGTGACATAAAAGATTTCAACCAACAAATTATTTCCCATGCTTTTCTTATTTCTAGTTTCTCCAAAACAATTAAGTTCATGCTTATTGAGGGGCTTCTGTCTCTGGCGTCTGGATATACTCTCTGATTTCTTGTCTTGGCAAGAATTGTCAAGCCACCTTCCACTCGTTGAGATCTTTTATCTGGTCACAAGTTTGTAATAGTGTCAGGACCTTTCCTAACTTTTTTTGCCCTATGTTCAGGGTGTCTCGAGAGCGCTGGTTGAGAATTCACGAACCTTAAGATTGCCAACATATCTGCATGAAAGACTCAGTCTAATCCGTAATGCAAAGGCGAGACTTGAAGAGAAGGGAATAACTCCATCTGTAAATGTAAGTTCTGTCAAATTTTGATATATTAGAGAAATTTTTCATGTCACTTATGCGGTTCTCTTCTTACTGGCTCATGTTGCACTCTCCAGAATATAGCTGCATCCCTAAATATGTCCCAGAAGAAAGTCAGAAATGCAACTGAGGTATAATAATTTTGTCGCTTAAACTTGTCCTGCGCATTTTTTCAGAAAATGTTGCTTAAACATTTCTTCTTACAGGCAAGCAGCAAGATGTATTCACTTGACAGGGAAGCATTTCCCTCTTTAAATGGTCTCCCTGGAGAAACCCTTCATAGTGTAAGTCCAAACTCCAAATGTTCATATATTGTATTTAACATTGTGGTTGACAACTTTTATGGATTTTATCAAATAGTTCAAGCACCGCCTTGCATCTCAAAAAGTGCACGTTGACGATCCGTTTGATATTTGAGTTGACAATTACAGTATTGGCTATCAGAAATTTAGATTTAATTCTCAAAGATTTGTG